TAGGAACACGCCTTAGTGCTCTTGTTCAGAGGATCAAAGTTTAAAGCTGCGGGGGATGTTTGCAGGGTGGGGAAATTTGCTCAGGTGATGCACAGTGAAGTTCAAAAGCCTGTTCTTTTATATATGCAAGATCAAATAACAAAAGCTGCTTATTCTAAGAGCATTTGTAGTGATTATGTTTGATGCTGCCTAATCATCAGACATAGGTGCTCCTCGTGCTCCTGAGGAATAATAGCTTGTGCTCTGAAACATGAGTAGGACAACTGCCTCTTCCTGGGCTCCCTACCTGGTGCTGCTGGCCCACTACTGATAGTCATCTGTTCACATCCATCATTGCACCCACACAAAGGAAACAGTGCAGCACTGCTCCTGTGACAGAGTCCAGCCATGCTCAGTTCCTGAACATGAGGCCTCCTTGGAAGGGGGGCACGATTCCCCAGCAAGCCCCAGCCCTACTGGCAACCCTGACAAGCCCATTGTCCCTGCAGAGCCTTTCGACCCCAGTGTTCCACTTGCGACACCAGAGGACTCCTTGATGGTCTCCTGGGTTCTCAGGCCAGAGGAGATAATGAGGCCGGCAGCAAGGGAAGTGTGCAGAGAAGGGGTGCGATCACTGTTGGTGTGGGAACCTTAGTCAGCAGCCTCTTCTTCATTATGAAAGGAACAGGCTTGCTCTGGCACAGTACTTGCATTAAAAATGGAAACAGAGAAAAGAAAAACAACATTGTGTTTTCATAAAAGATGATATTGTAATCAGGGCACACTCACACAGTCTGTGACCACAAATGAATGCCGCAGCACAACAGCAACAAACATGTAAGCCACACAAACATCCACACAGCATACGCCTGACCTGTTGAAACACCACAGAACCCTCTTCCCACAGACAGCCTGCAATATGCCAGCTAAAGGAAACTGGATCCACAAAAATCAGGGACAGACTCAGCAAGCAGGCAACAGGAGAGAAGGAACCACCACAGATCACAAAGTCTGAATCATTGCAAGGAACCCATGAACAGGCTGGAAGATAGGATGCACAAGTATCTTTCTGTTAGTGCTAGGCCATATCGGTGCTGTGCTGGATTGGGTCACACTCACACATATTTACAGAAGTTACCAGGAGTGCTAAGCATGTGCTGGGTACCATTTGCATAATTACCCACTTGGGAGTTGTTTGTTGTGTTGGCTTGTTGGAAGGGGAAGCAACAGCCCTCAAACAACAGCCTGTGGTTTATTTGACGGTTGTTTCTCCATGCTTCGTGGGTTCAGATGACTGAACAAGTGGTGCTTGGCTTATCGGGCAAATAGGACTCAGCATTTGCCAGCCCATGCTGCAGCTTAAATAAGCTACCATGGCTTGTTCAAGCTGCACTGGTTATGCAAACCAGGCTTAAAAGAAGCAAGAAGAGCAGCTGCTTCATGCATGTCTTCACAGATTGTTTATACGCATAAGCCCCATGCCCTGTGCATGGCCACCCACCAAGAAGCTCAGCTCAGTAGCTAGAACATGAATGGAAAGGTCCACACAGGTAGGCGAATGAAGAACTTACTATGGGAAAATGAAAAGGGATGTATATTATACAATTGTACCTGCCATTTCCTGGGCAACAGGTTATGGCATCAAATAACCTCAACTGTAGTGAAAACCATGAGCGGGAACCAGAGGGCAACACAGGGATCCAAAGTGCATACATCAAAACCAGTGCCACATAATATCTCATTTCATGCACTGGGAAGAAATGCAGACACAAGTATCCACATAACACGGTGCCAGGCACTCCCATCTGCAGACTGCAGGCACAATACTCACAACTGTGAACCCCTCTCATTGGAGTGCATCCAGATAACAAGCCGTAGATCAGCCAAGGATTCGAAACAAGCAGCAAGGTGATGAACACCAGCAGGAGCGTGAGCATGGGTCCGCTGTCCCTGATTGTCCTCCCCAAGTGGGGTTGCTGCCTTTTCGTTGCTCTCTTCTGTGGGTCTCCTGTGCTGTCAGTAGTTGCATGAGAGAGAAACAGGTATAGGATTTCCCTAGCGTAGCTGTGCAGCTATGTTGTTACATAACAGAGCTAAGCCACAGGTCACTAACTTGATGAAATCATGTAAATCATTTCCCTACATGGAAAAAAAATGGATTTGCTGGGAAAAGCAGGATAAACTGGCAAAGTTGCCACCTTTTTCTGAAAGAAGTGGTGCACACTAACAGTTAAAGAATAGAAATTCAACAGGTACTGCTTTGTGCAACACGGAGCTGCAGTTATGGGTGAAACTGTGACAGCCCCATAGTTTCTGTCAGAAAAAGGTGGCAACATTGTACACCGAGGCAGACACTTCCTTTCACTTACCCGCCTAAGGGAAGCATTGCTCAGTTGTAAACAAGGCAGCACTATTAAAATGCATTGCTTTTCTCCCCTCAGGTAGGCATTCAAAGAATATTCCAGAGGTGAAGTTGGCCCTCCACTTTGATGACTACAGAGACTGCAAAGGAAAGTATCACTGCAGAAACAATAGGGCATCATGTAATTCTAAAAGCTCTGTGTGATGCTGCAGCATCGTCACTCTTCCTAAGTGTTAATAAAAGGTCTTGATTGATGCAGCGCCTGTGTTTCATACTCCATGACTCTCCCGATGGCATAAGGGCAGCAGTTGGTAACCACAAGTGATTCACCAGTGCTAAGAGTCAGTATTTCTCTGATTAAGAACAGCAGCATCCTCTTCCACAAGGCTTCTTCGGAATACATTCTGCTTGATTAGGCCTCTTCTGAGCCGTTTCTGTTGGCGCTGGAGTTGATGTGTTCCCTGGCACATGCTACTAGAGAAGAGCATATGCCTCCCATCTTATTTTGCTCCCATTCCATGGGAAGCAGTGGTCAGGACCACTGGATGCAGTCCTGACATCCCCTCCCTCCCACTGTGGACAGGGTAAGACTGAACACAGCTAGCTCTCAAGAAAATCCTGCTTCTGTTCTATCTGGGAAAAACGGGGTGGGGGAACAGGAGTGACTTGCAGCAAGAGCAAGAATCTGAGCATCCTGTTCTCAGCTTTTGCTGCAGGGTTCTTGAATGGCACTGGGCCAATGGCTCTCCTCCTCTTTGGATCTGTGACAGTGGCACTGACCCTTCCAGTCTTTCTCTAGATGATGTTTAAAGAGGTTGAGGTCAAGCATGAGAAGTCTAGACTAAGAGCTGCAAAATTCACATTCATTACAACTGTGGGAACAAACCGGCAGCAAGTCACAGAAGCCCTTCAGTTTCCTATGTATTAACTGGAGTTCTTAATCAGAGATAAGGTTTTTATACATATGTGGCACAAATAGGGTATCAGGGTGATTTTTTAAGTTAATTAAGCTCAGATTGTAACCCCATTATTCTTGTTCTCTTTGTTGTTTACTGTATTGAGTAAATTTCTTCAAAGAAGTTGTAATTTGAAAGTTTTCTCTAGAACTTCCAATATTTGTAGAAATTAATGCTGTGAAAGGGGAAAGATCAATTTTAAAAGGTTACTGTGAGATAAAATGTAATAAAGAATTAAATACAGTTATATAAATCCGAGTATATATGGATGATAAATCAGGAAATAGTAGCATGTGGGCTTGTAGTGCTTTCTTTTTCTGGTTTCTATGCCTTTTGCTTCCCAAAGGATTCTGTATTTTGGGAATACACAATGTTTCAGCTCTGTGAGTTCTCTAAGTGGGATTCACTCTTAATAAAGCTTGGAATGGATGTCAGGATTTGGGAATCATGAATCAGGAGAGGCTAAATGATTTGATTCCAAATCAGGTGGCAAATCTAGTGGTATGATGGCTGAAGAATGTTTTCTGTGGCATGCCAAAGCAATTCAGATGTTCTTGAAATTATGTATTTTGATTAAGTAGTGATTTGGTGTAGCACTCAGGAAAATAAGCTAAGTGACTGCAATGATCAAAATTTCCCTTGGAACAAAGAAGATCTTGACAGATTTTGGACAAGCTGTAATTAGTTTAGCCTTTAATGTTATGTTATACTCATGTCACAAAGGTTTGAAGATTAATATTTAATATATTTAATATCTATGGAGGAGGAAGTTGTCAATGGCTACTAGTGTTGCTGGCCATGTGGTACCTCTGCTATCAGAGGTGGCCTGCCTACATAGAGCAGTTGCTGAGGAACGTGGGCAGGTGGAGACTTGCCCCCATCCTGCTTGAGACATCCTGTGGGCAGCTGGTTTGCCACCCTGTGAATGGAGTGCTGACCTGGATGGATGGTTTGCCTTTCTTACCTTCTTACATGCCAACGTGTATAATGAGCCACATTTCCGGTGATATGGTTGGTACAAGGCTGTGATCGGTGAGCATATCGCGCTGCACACTGAGGTGTCATGCCATGGCTTCCTCTTAGTGCTTGGATAAAGAGCAGTAAGCTTGTTTCATTTATTACTTTTTCAAGTGAATATCAAGAAATATCAGCTTTGTATGAAACAAGCACGTAAGGTATCAAGCAGATATGTCCACCGGAGAGTCAGGATTGCCTGCAGTTCCCTAGCAAGCTTATGGCAACACTGGTTTTGCATGGTGTAGTATGATCTCTTATATATATTGACTCACTCAGTAGGGCCCTTTGTCAAGAAATGTCTGCAGTGTTTTGGGGACTGGAGCCACCTCCTCCCACTAGAGCATAGAGTGTCATTTGTTCCTAGCTGAATCTAGTTGCTTTGATCCAGCATGTTCTCCATCTGTTATGCTGTTTTACATAGGACTTAAATCTGTGTTCACATTCTCCTTGCCTGTAAATCTGATGAAAAGAGTGACGCTGACCAGGGCACAGATTTGATTATGAAGCTACTCTCTTCTGCATAAGTGAAGCATGCCAAGCTAAAGGATGTTAGTATCTCTTAAGGCGTATCTAATCCAAGATAGACCACATTGGCTAGAGGGGTGGGGAATCCTGGGAGGGCTCTTTGCTTTGACCACATCCGTAAGGTACACCTGTATGTGAAACATTCCTTAACGTTGCCTCACTCCTTTTGAATACATGATTTTAGCAACTATCATAGCAAACTGCATTGTCCTTGCTCTGGAGCAGCATCTGCCTGATGGAGACAAGACGCCGATGTCAGAGCGGTTGGTGAGTAGAATTCCCTTCTTCTGAAATGGTTTTAGGGCAGAACCAAACACGGTCTCAGAGGTACAGTAAACTTGACCCTACAGCATTATGCTTTGTGTTTCCCCACTCATTTCACCCTGTAATGTGGAGCTAAAATAGCCAGCTCAAAAATTCTGGTGCATAGTTAGGATGGAGGAGTGAAGCTAGAGCCTGAGCCCAGCAGTTTTTCTGGAGTCCAGGGTAGCAGAGGAGCGTCACAGTGTCTACTGGATTCCTGGTCAGGGGACCTGCAGAAAACCTGTTTACAAAGGCAAGGGTGAACAAAAGGGAGATCCCTAGATATTTTGAACTTTCACCTCCCAGAAGTACCTGCTGGCATGACCAGCAGTCCAGAAACATTGGTGTTCTGAGCTTCTGGGAAGAAGGATGGATAAAAAAGCAATAACTACACCTATTTTTTCCTTATGCATGCCTCCTTAGGATGACACAGAACCATACTTCATTGGAATCTTTTGTTTCGAGGCTGGAATTAAAATTATTGCCTTAGGATTTGCTTTCCACAAAGGCTCCTACCTAAGGAATGGCTGGAATGTGATGGACTTTGTGGTGGTTCTCACAGGGTGAGTATTTGTTCTTTAAACTCAGTTCTTGTTTGCTTTCCGTTTGGTTAGTCTGTGATCATTGGGCAGTGACAGGCCTGAGAAAGGAGCCTGAACGCTTCGGTTCTGTTTTCTGGTGTGGAAGGAAAGGAAAGGGCAAAGTACTTTGAAAGAGGATAGGTAGGTTTGGCACAAGAGCTTCTGGTTTGGATTCCTGTTCTAATGAGTAGCAGCTTAGACTGAAGACAGTCAATATCACAGCATGCCCTTCACCTGCACTATGATCTAGACATCATGTGTTGCCTTACATGCACATGTTCCAGCAAGTTGGATGCTGGTTCAGCCATCAATCATACACTTTCATTTGAACTTCAGCCAGGCTGTCCTCCTTTAAAAACTTGGAATCTGCATCTATGTGTTTGTACAATCATCCATCTCTTTAAAAGATGCAGGTGCTTCAAAAACAGTTGCAGAACTCTTCTGGAGGTGGTGGAAATGTGTTGCTGAGAATACCATTTCTAGCAAATAAGTGCATTCTACTGCTGTCTTTCATTTATTTTATTTACTATTAACTTTGGATAATGAAAATGCGCCTATCCTGTCATTCAGTTATTTTTCCCAGTTTAAATAAATTAACTCTTATTGAAAACGTGCAGAACCTGTTCTTTTAGAGTTTGCCCACTGTACAAAAAGGTACATTTGTAGCTTCCATGTAGCCTGAAGTGCCTGATCCTGCCTAATCTTGGAAGCTAAGCAGGGTCAGGCCTGGGCAGAAGTGGGATGGGTGACCTGAGTGTATGAGTCTATGATTATTGCTGTCAACTGCCTAGAGAGCTTTGGCTATGGGCAGTATAAAAAATGTAATAATAATAATAAATGTTGTGAGGGTGCTTTCAAACTTGCCCTCTTCCTGTCCCACTCCTAAGATGCTGCATCTCTCTTCATCCCTAGAACAGCAGGCAGAGGGTTTTGGGATAAGTTGTTCCTCAACTCTGCCACTAAACTAGCCTGATCCCATCTTGCTTTTTATATGTGTAAGTTCATATAGATGCAGTTTTTTGATATCGTAATTTTCTTGAACACCCACAATTTTAAGGTTGGCACATGAACACGGCATTTTGGATCTGTGTGTAACAAACAGGTACATCATGTCTGCAATGCTGTGTCCTCACACTTTCCTAGTTTGCAAAGCTTGCTTCCTGCTGCTTCCCAGCCTGCTCATATCTTGAGATGAGAACAAAAGCCCTTTTTTCCCTTGAAACAAAGATGTTTTTGGTGATGGAGTGTTCTCAACACCCACCCAGACTTTCATTTATTGTGATGTTCTTAGATTTGAGAATAGCTTCTAGACATCAGAGAAAACTCCATGGATAGTATGTTAATCTGAGGGACTATAGCCCATATAAAACCCATATTTCCAGTTGGATGGTTTGGGTCCTCTTTGAAAGAAACTTGAAAATGTTTTCTCTCTTCGTAGCCTAGGTCCTCTATTTCTAGGTAAGATCAGGTTTTGTCCAGGGAAACCCAGGTTCAAATCCGACCTCAGTTATGAAGCTTGTTAGGTAGCTTCATGCAAGTCAGTATTCACAACTTTCACAAGGTTCTTTAGATGAAATAATATTAATAGCAATAATAAAAATAATGCATTTTGCAGTGAAAAGTACTATAACAAAGATCAATAATGATGTCAAAAACTGTAACCCCGGGGAGCTGACACTCAAGTTACATGGGACAATTGCCCTGTTCTGAGTTTGCTTTTTCTGCTTCCTTCTCTGTGTTGCCCTGTGAACAATTATTTGCAGAGTATCTGGAAGCTCTTGAAACAAGATTTTTAGAATCTATTTTTAACCCAGATTGGAGAGAGAGTATGTTATTAAAGAAAATCCCAAGAAATTAGTGCTGTTCCCATTTTCACAATACCATCCAGTTTGCCATTTTTCTCAGCCCCTTGATATTTACATCATGTTTTCTTGGCATACTGTGGACATGTGATAGTTTGATTGTTTTGAATGTCCTGACATAAGGATAATGATAGCATGAGAAGGGTTGTGGCTTGGCAGAGGGATGCAGCCCAGGGAGTTTGAAACTGAGATCCAGTCCCACCAATTCTGATTGGGCTTAACGAGATTGCATCAACTCAGTCTATTACATTGTCCATAATGAACCTGAAAGTAAAATTGTCTTTGCATCCTTCCTAGGGTCTCATGTCTGAAGGCCAGTTCATTCAGGAATTTTTCCCACCAAATTAGCAGCCTAAGGAATCCCCGGGGTTGCACAAGCATGGAAAAATATTGCAGTAAAGTTGGCAGTACTTAGTACAGTAGCAATTCCTGTGATTGTGATATTGGGAAAAAGTGCTGCTACAATTACAGAAATGAATGGTTATCTGCACCGCCTGTTTCACACTGCCATTTCTCCCCACGATGGTGGGTCTGGAGTTTGGGCACACAGATGAAAAAAGCATGGATGGAGAAGCCTTGCATTGTGCCTTGTCAGCCTATGGCTTCTCACTGAGAATAGTTATCACAGCCCGAAGCCAGTGCAAAGGCTGCTTCCCACATTTTCAGGGCTGGTGTGGCTGCTTCCTGCACAGGAAATCAGTTAAATTTCTTCTGTGTAGTTTGGAGTGTCAGGGGTGGGTCCTTGGTGGCTCATTGTGTTTTTATTCAGTGCCACCATGGAGTTTTCAAGCTTCTGAAAAGGAAGTATGACTATGGTACTACACATTACAGGAATGCCTGGGGCTGAAAATGAACACAATATTTTTACTCTTGTTGCATACTTTGAGCGAAATGAAAAACAGAATGTGACGGTTAAGGGCTGAAAGAAATGTTACAAGGGATGTGTGGCTTCCACCAAGGGCAGCAGCAGCCCTGCCTTCTCCTCCTGCATATCCCTGGTGATCCCTTGTAAGTAAAGACATGGGTCATCACATCAGTCAGTGCCTCCTTACATCATTTTAGGCAGGTTCTCGGCTTACTGCTAGGTTGGTGGATGTGTTTCAAGAGTGCAATCAAATGGACCATGCAAAGGTTGATTCACAGAATCCCAAAGACCTGTTGTGGGGTGTTCTGCAGGTTAAGCAGCTAGATCTATTCACAAGGCTTTTAAGAGAAAGTGCAGAGTCCCCAAGGCTTTTCTCATAGGAAGCTGTTTCCACCGACAAAGAGGTACTAGTGCAAACGCATGGATGTCCTGCTTCTGTCAGTTTCAGAGCTCAAGAGCTGATCCACACGTTCAGGTAATGTCCCTGGATTGTACCAGTTCAGAAAGCAGGCTTTGTGTGTGTGTGTGTGTGTGTGTGTGTGTGTGTGTGTGTGTGGCGGGGTCATATGCTTGGATATCTGTTCCCATTCAAAACTCCCTGAGGACTTCTTCACACACACAGCACTCAAGAAGGTTCAAAATTCCTGCCACGCTCCAACTGCTGCATCCCTAGCACGGTGCAGCTCATTGGTATGCCAGACAGAATGTGCTTCTTGATTAGGGAGTCCTCCCTGCACTATTACTTAAGGAGCTTTCCAGACGTGTCCTGAATGCTGAAGGAACCTCAGCCTGCCCGCACAGCCTGAATGGTAAAAAGGCAGGGAGGAAGTGGGGATGGCAAAGGAGATTTCCTGCCACTTCTGCTGGCAAGTAGCTAGGTGGGCGGACCTTCAGGCCACAGACTCCAATGACAAATTGTAAGAGCAGGATTTCGATAGAAGCAATTGTTTTGTGGCTAGATTTCAATGTGCGACTGCACCCATATGCATGCCTGAGTACAGCACTCTCTGCTTATTCCTCTTTTTGTGAACATTTGGTTTTCCCACGATAAGCATTATACAGTTATGTTCCATGTACATAGTATGTACATGCTTTAATATGTGTGTGCATGCATGCAGGCATGTGCACACACAAGTGTGTGCCTTAGAGACAAGATAAATGTGTTTCTTGAGGGGCCATTCCACAGGTATGACTTGATGCACGTATATGTGTGCCCAATGTGACTTTGAGCACCCTGCAACCTCACTATTATGGGTCCAGTTGAAGACCACTGCCCTGAACATAACTGCCTAAAGTTAAGGGCATACAGATAAATTTGTATAAATATTTGAGAAAACAACATAATTGAAAAGACAAGAATGAAAATCTTTCCTGGTCAACATCATGCATTCATGAATGGGGAGTACCTTAAATACTCCAACCAAGATCTCACCATGTTCTGGCTGGCTTTGGGGTCCAGCTCCAAGCTTGTGCTTCCACTGCTTTTACTCCCTGATTTTACAAAATGGTCCTACTGGAGCTCAGGGTGGGACAATCAGCAGCTTCCAAGGTTGACAGGGGCTTCCCTGGCCATGTGTTGCCCTCAGAAACACAATGGACAAAGAAGTCTCCAGCATGGTCTCTTTCTTCCAAACAGTCTTGGAACTGGGAAGGGTACAGAGACAATCCCCAGCCACCACTGTTGTTCCAAGAAGGTAGTGACCACCTCACCTACCACGGTGGACAAAAAATTTGACTCCTGACTAGAGCCTCAAAAATAACATAGTGACATTAAAAAGAAAAACTCTGATGATTCTTCTGTCGTAAATCTGTTTGGTGCCCGAGCATGTCTGTATCATTCTGATTCCTTTCCTATTCCTAGTAGAGATAGGTGGTATTCTAGGTAGTGAATCTCTGGAAGAGCTTTCTGTGACTCAGGGTAGTGAGGCCTTTTTTTGAGGGATAGCAGATTGAAAATTTGGCAAAAATTGACAGGGCAAAAATTTGCTGGGGGATAGGCCTTTGAGCTATCCCCCAGTCGCCGTTTGCCTGTAGGGACACTGTGTAAGGATAACATATCATCCATGAGAATTGGGTAGTTAACGGAGCAGCTGATCTTTTAAGAATGAAAGAGGCACAGGGCGAAGGACACTATTATTAATGGAGTTACTGAGGAAAAGTGCTTGCTGCGTGCAAGACTTAATACAAATACAATTTCTTGTCTAAACAAAACAAAATTTTCTGTAGCACACTTTTGCCTGCTGCAGCCATCATCC